TTTCATTTTTTAGTCATTGTTTACATAAATTTGTTAAATAAAAATAAATATGACTTTTTGATTCTTAATCTATTTACATATACTTAAATTTATTAGCATTTGTTTACCACTGACCCCTCCCTTCAATTTATAAGAAAAACTTTTTTAGTAATTATTTTGTTTTATTTATATGTCAAAAAATTTTATATATAAATACTATTTAATATCTATTCATATGATATTTACTGTGACTAATTCAATATAAAATGCACGATATGTTATGTTTTGATATATTTATTTAATATAAGATAAACTTTAATATTAAAATATTTTAATAATTGTGCTAATAATAGCTTATAAATCAATATATTTATATAACTATTTTTTATGCATATACTGTGTATATTATTATATATAGTATTATTTTATATAAAATTCTTTAGARAATATTCTTTATTTCATTAATTTGTAAAGTTTAAAATAATGTAAATTTATAATATAATTAATAATGATAATTAAATTAGATATTATCATCTATATTTTAATTACTRTAAACATAGTTTTTCCATGTTTAATGTAAGTAGTGTTTAACATTATAATTTTATTTAAAATACAAAAATATTTATGATATTAGTTGTTAATTATTAAGACATTTTTTTATAAATAATATATTTAGTTGGCAATTGGCAGTATTACAGGGAGAAATTGAGCCCATATGGCCATACATGAGCGATGCGGGTACTGTACCAGTCAGTGCATCACTATATTCAATGATGATGGATCTCAATGGTATTATCTATCTAATGATAACCAAAATTAGATACGATATGACTAAACTGTATCTCGAAAAACACGATTACTTAAATGAAAGTTCAGTCAAACAAATCAATTGTTTGAACAATTGGTCTGTATTTTGTGGTCTATGCATAATAGTCGGTGCTGTAGGTGTGGCCTGTTTTCGGTCGGCTGAAGGATGGTTTGTACTGACAATTCACTGTTTAACTGGTCTGCCTTTCTTTACTGGATTACTATTTGATCCACTCATTCAATATTTATTGGCGAGAAAAATGTCAAATAACAATACGGCTAAATATCTGTTGACAATTTGGATCATAAGTTTACTTATTTATGTTGTTATGGCTGTATCTGGATCTGTGTCGGGGATAGTATACTATCCAGAATTTGTTGATAATTACAAGAGAAGGACATGGAGTAGCAGTAAACCCGGCTATTGGGCACATGTAGTGTCGGCTCTATGCGAATGGTTGGCACTAATTATGGCTAATCTGTGTATTTTGATTTCAGTACCAGAGTTCAAAAAGTTCACATTTGCATTAAACAATCCTTCAATTGTTCACAATATTCAGGTCGACAACAAACCTAATGTTAGTATTTTGTTCAATAATAAGGATAACACTATCACTGGTGTTACTAATAATAACAATGAATCAAATGAAAGTATGAGTCCAATTGATCAAAATGACCATGGTCATTTTTGATCTCAAATTATTGATCGCAATTTAATAATTGATGATTAAAATATTATTACTTAATATCACATAAATAATAATAATGCATATAATTTTAATTTAAAAACCTCACTAAATAATAAAAATTAGTTATTTTTTAATTTACAAAAAAAGCAAGGTTATGAAATATTATTTTTTAATTACAAAAATAAATTGTATTGTTTGTTATAAAATGTTAACTTTTTTAATAAAATATAACAAATATGTTATTTATTTAGTTTTTGGGTTAACAAACATAATAAACTTAAAATGCTATAACTTTTACATATTGTATAACTTTGTTATAGTGTTGCTTAATGTATTTGTAAATCAAACGTTTATCATAAAAAATAACCRCTTAATAAYATTAAAAGATTACAAAAAGTTAGATAATAAAAAAYTAATTATGATCAGTTTATTATTATATTATTTAATTTAATAAATACATAAAACGTAAAATTAAAAATAATGTGTACTTAAATTGTTTGTTAAAAATATTAAGTTGTGAATTGTAGTAAAAGTTTAATTTGTTTCATTTATTTAGAAATTAAAATATAGTTATTACAAGTATTTATCTATTGAAATTAAATAAMTTAAAAACTTAATTTAAAATATACTTTTTTATATCTTTAATTATAATTTATTACTAATATTTTTAGTTTGATAATTTTAATTAACAAAATTTATTTATTAGGTAACAATAAAAATCATGAACATTGTAAAGGTATAATAAATTAATGACAATGATTATACATTATAAAATTTTTCCTAAAAACTAATTTCCAATATCCTGTTTAGAAAAAATAAGATATTAATATTATAGAATGTCCTTGATACAATTTATATTATTATTATAATATAATAAGTTATAATAATTTATACAATGTCGAAATGTGTATCATATTTTTAAATTAAAATAAGTATATAATTTAATATCTAATTAGTCTAATTAAATCATTTATTACTTATATAAATAGTAAAAACCTCATTATTGATATATTTKTATATCTTTTTTTAGTAAAAAATAGTAATATCAATTAATTACAACAATGAATATTTTGTCATTATCTTTATTATCATTACTAATTGTTATGGTTTGTTCAGCACCTGATGGTGGTCTAATGGATAATATACCTGTCATAGGACCAGCCATTTCCAATGGACTCAACAAAATTCCCGTAATTGGACCGGCAATTCAAAGTGGCGCCGACAGTATCGGCGGTTTGACATCTGGATCGGGTTCATCTGACACCAGTGATAATGGATCAAAATAATCTAATAGTCTTATTATATCTAAACAAAAGTATCATAAACTTATATTTATCTTTTAATTATATTATATTAWAYTWATATTATTATTTAGTTATTTTAATAAATTTGAATATTTCTGTAGTTATAATTTACAAAATTATTTAATATAATATTGAATTTTCAATATTTCTTATTATCATTAGTATAATATATTAACCAATTTAGATGTTATCAATTTATTTGTCTTAATTCACTAAAAAATATTTATTAAACTATTGTTTAGTTTTTAAAAATAAATGTTGAATAAGTTAATAATTATGTTAATAATTACAATATGTTTATAAATAAATATTTTATATAATATAATTTATCTGTATAAGTCTATTGCTTAATACTGTATATACGGTGTATTTAGCACCGGTAATATAAATCTTATACTGTATAATAAAAGCATAATAAACTTAAAATAAAAAACTTAATAAAATACAATTTCAATGTAATTGATGATAATATAAATAAGTGTTACATAAATCTGTTGCTAAATCCTATATTAATTAATGAGAAAATTTCCAATAAATTAATGATGCATTGATGACATGCGATGATGATTATACTGATAATGAAATGACTATAATATTAAAATCTGTTACTCAATAATAATAAAAAAATAAAGTTTTACTTTCAGTAATATAATAAACAGTATTAACAATTAGCAGAATATTTATACTATAGTAATAAACACAACACACCAGACAATGAAATTACATATTTTATCGAAACTTATTATTTTTCATTGTTTAATGACACATAAAAGTTGTTTTTCATCAAAAATTATAACATAATAATTACCAGATTTTTTGTATCTTTTGTAATACAAATTTTTGAATATTTGAATATTATAGAGATATTACCACAAAGCCAGTCGTAAATCAATGAGTCATATAATGATTAATCAATAATTAGCTAATCTATATAAGTCTCATGATTTATGCTATAAAAACTAATTAAATAGATATTTGATTGCAGGACACATACTAAACAATACTGTAATTAAAGTTAAGTAAATAAAGTTTTTTTATAAATATTATTTGATACATTGATACAAAATGAAATTATTAATTATCGCATCAATTGTGGTCAGTTATTTGGCATATGTATTATCAGCACCGGCGGGAACTACAGCTTTGACGGCAACCGAATCCACTAACACTAACACTACTACTACTTCTAACTCCAATGAGACGACTATCTCCAGTGAGAACACAACTATGTCATCGACTAACGAGACCTCATCGACAGTAATGTCAATGAATGTCACTTTATTACCTAATATGACTCTACCGCTAAACACAACTGACCCCAACTGCACCCTAACTATGGATCTGATTGTTGTCGAGGCTGGAGAAGAGACAATCATTTTTGGAGAAACTTCTTAAATTAGTTTAGATTATTATTTTTATTTAAATGTTTTATATTTTTTAAATATTTTTATATATACTGTATTATTAATTTATTTTAAGCAAAAAAAATTTAGTAATGAGTTGTATAATTTTTTTAATTGCTTGAAATATATTGTATACTGTTTATAATCATAATGAATTAAGTTTGATATTTATTCACAACATATATTTTATATAACATTTAAATTTTAAAACATAGCATGTGTTGTGTTTATTAGTATAGTAATAATTAATAGTGTATTTGTGTTTACTTAACTATAATACAGTATATCAATACATGTACAGAACATAATAATATTATAAGACTACATATACTTAATTTAAATTGTCAACAATGTATATAATTTTAGCTATTTCTTAGAAAACTTATATAAATTAAATTACATCATTACTTATTTTTAAAATTTAATTAACAAATAAAGGTTTTTATTTATTGAAAAATTAATTATCAATAAAAGATAAAAATGATAAATTCGTTTAACATTTTTTATAGATAATAACTTCTAGTACTTAACTAAAATATTATGTCATATATTATATATTAGACAAACTATAATATACTTCTTTATAACTATTTTTGTTTATACTAAACTCAAAGCCCACATATAACCCCCCCTTCCCTTAAATATTTACTAAACCAATTGAATGCTATACTGATAAACACAAGGCTTACGTGTCTGACTCTGAGAAACATATGATTTTAACAAACAAAATATTTATTAAAAATTTGTGGAAATAAACATTAAATTTATCAATATTTTTATATGACGTTAATATAATAGTTTATATCAATATTAAACTGTACTTTTTATCAAATAAAAAATTGATTGTATTAATGAAATTGCATTGTAAGTTAAATTGGACTTAAAATTCACTAAAATTTATTGTTTAAAACATTATATATTGAAAATTTGTTTTCTAAAAGTATTTAAAAGCAAATTTAATATTTTTAAAAATCTAATTTTTATTGAAATAATGTCAACATCTGATGCATTTCCAGTGTGGGCTCTGTTGCCTAAAAAAGAGACTAATGTCGACATATTTTTAAATAAATACCCGGAATATGATGGTCGAGGGGTCAAAATTGCAATAATTGACACCGGCGTTGATCCCGGAGCTGCTGGTCTTCAAGTAAATTTTGATTATTTTTGCATTTATTATTTATTTAATAAAAGATTTATTTTCAAATATTAGATAACTAGCGATGGTAAACCAAAAATTGTGGACATGTATGATGCTACCGGTGCCGGCAATGTCGACACAAGTACTGTCGTTAAAGCAGATGACGACGGTTTTATCACTGGATTGACCGGTACTAAACTAAAGGTATAGTTTTATAATTTTTTTTCTACACATTTTGTTATTGAAATATTTACAAATATATTTAATGTAACTAACAATATATGTTTTGTGAAATTATCAAAAATTATTATAAACTTAATATATAATATGTTGAGAATTTGACTTATAAAAAGTTTGGTATGTTTTTGATGGGTAATAAAAAGATACAACATTTGTTAAATATGGAAAAGTATTGAATTTCAATATATTTGTTAATTAAATTATTGCTTAGTTTCAGTGAAATATTTATAATAGGATTTCCTAATCTGAAACTTAAGTCATGACTTATTTATTGTTTATTAACATTTAGATATTTTCAAAAAAATTTTTAAATATTACTTATAACAACAAATAAATAAAGTAATTAAATATTTATTCAATAATTTATTTATTTCTAAAAATATTAATACTTTTATTTGATAAAAAATAAAACAAATTTACAATGAAATGTTATAATTTATAAGACGAAATTAGTAAATGCATTGTTCAATAGATGCTTTAATATGTAGTAAATAGTAAATATAGATATAAAATATTTAATTATTGTTAGTTGTAATTAAAGTTCGATCACAATTCCCTGGGAAGGAAGTTCCCTAAAAAAAATCTTTAATTTTACAGCAAAATATGCAAAATATTTTATTTTTCCTCCTTTGATCGTTAGAAAGGGAAAATATGTTTTATATTATTACGATAAATAGTACCAAAACTCTACAAAAAAAATATTGAAATATTTCAAAATAAATATTACAAAAATCTAGCAATTAAATTATTTTTAAAATTTTTTTTTAAATTTTTATATATGTTCACATTATATTATATATTTACTAACAAATAAAATATGAGTTATTAATATTAAATTGATATAAAAAGATACCAAACGAGTGGACTAACCCGTCAGGTGAGTATCACATCGGTATGAAAAACATATATGAGTTGTACCCGAAAGAGGTCCGCAAACGTATGATTGAAAAGTATATGGAAAACGAGTGGAAACCAAAACATAGGATTGTCAGCTCAGATGCCTTGAAAATGCTCCGAAATTTTGAAGCAAAACATACGGAAGCATCTAATGATAGTCCTGAAGACAAACTGATCCGCGAAGACTTGCAATCGCAAGTTGATTGTCTCAAACAAATTGATGATATTTTTGAAGATTTAGGTCCCACTTATGATTGTATTATCTTCAATGATGGACAACATTGGAGGTCACTATAAAACTAAAATACAAAACTTTTAATAATAGTTTTATTGTTTAAATAGAGGTTTGATAGACAAGACAGGAACTGGTGATCTATCAAAGTGTGTACTTTTGGGAAACTATAGTAATTGCTTGAAATATGACACCATCTCTGATATGGGTAAATGATTTTCATAAATAAATAACATATTATTGAAAAATTTTAAATAAAAAATTTGCTAATTATTTTAAAAATAGATATGCTAAACTATTGTATAAATATTTATGATGATGGTAATCTGATGCAAATTGTAGCTAACAATTGTAAGTTATAAATATTTTAATATACAGTATATAACAATATATCTATATATACTGATATATTATACATAAACATATATTAATATTGAATATTATAAAGTATATGATATTATATATGTACATAAACTTGTATACCTATATTATGCAATAAACTATTAATAATATATTTTTTTAATAGCATCTCACGGCACACATGTTGCCTGTATAGCGGCCGCCAATTTTCCCGAGAAATCTATTAAAAATGGTGTCGCACCGGGAGCTCAAATAGTTAGTATATATATTGGAGGAAATCTCAATCAAAATACATTTAAAAGGTTTAATTAAATTATTTTTGAAACAAATGCTTATTTATATTAATTTATAAATTTCAGAGCACTTATTAAAGTTATTGAATGCAAATGCGATGTCATTAATCTTAGTTATGGTACTTATGATTATATAAACAGGTCTATTATGTTATGTTTTTTTATAAATTACAATTTAACTGAATTAAAAGATAATTTAATGATTAATATTTAATTTTTAGTTCAATTAATAAGTTTATGAAAGAATTGATCACTAAATACGGCATAATTTTTGTGACTTCTGCGGGAAATTCTGGACCAATTCATTCGTCAACCCTATCGAGCAAATCATTAGCCATATCTGTTGGCGCTTATGTATCACCTGATATGATCAGAGCTCAAAACTCACTGTTTAATGACAAGGCATCTGAAATGGCATATAGTTTTACATCCCGCGGCCCATCGTATGATAATATTTTAATCTAAATAATTATAAATATTAAAACTTGTTTTATTAGTGTTAATGGAGATTTGGGTGTATCTGTATGTGCACCCGGAGGTGCTATAACATCTGTGTCTAATTGTGAGCTTAAAGGTAGTGACCAAATGTTCGGTACATCGATGAGTTCGCCACATACTGCGGGAGCCGTATGTCTATTACTGTCGGGTCTCAAAATGATGGATATCCCGTATTCACCATTTAGTATAAGAAAAAGTTTTGAAAGTACTGCTAATCAATATTATGATAATTATGATGTATTTACTGCCGGACACGGACTCATACAAGTATTGATTATAATTTTTACTAGAATTTMATTATTWTATTATATATTATTTAATTACCGGTAATATTATTAGATTGACAAAGCATTTGAACATCTAATTCAATTCAAAGATAGTATTGATAGTAATATTAGATTTAAAATAAATACTGGAAATAAAAAAGTTGGTATTTATTTGCGGGAACAGTATGAAGTAACTGAGCCATCGAAACATACTGTATTTGTTGAAACTAAATATTTAAATCATAAAGAAATGGGTCAATAATAGCAATTAAATAAATTAAGTAAATATTATAATATTTGTTTTTCTTGTTTAGAAAGTAAACATAAATTGCAATTTGAAATGATATTACAATTATCTTGTTCTCAACAATGGCTAACTTATCCACCATTTATTTATTTAACATATGGTAACAAAAATTTTGACATTGAAGTCGATCCACAAACTCTATCGGACGGAGAAATACACTTTACCATGGTAACTTTTATTTATTATAAATATAATTTATTGTAGTTATAGTTTTTATTTTATTATATTTTATATCTTTATAATTAATAATATAATAGAAAGTTAAAATATCATTATTTATCAATTAATTACAATTTTTATCACAAAAATAATTAATTATTTACTGTATTTACTAATTATATTTTTGTCTTAAGTTAAAAGCATTTGACGCCACTTGTCCTGAAAAAGGCCCGATATTTGAGATACCAATTACTGTAATTAAACCATTAAAGTGAGAAAATATTTGCTTTTATTATTTGAATTACTAAATCAAAGTTTTAAAAAATATTTTTCTAAGAATATGTAAAGAAAAATCAATGAAATTTACAGAAATTATAAGATCCGGTTATTTTTGGAGTCAATACATTCATATACCTAATGAAGTGACTTCAATGGTTGTAAGCCTTAAAAATAAAGACAGTTATAGATCAGGAAATTTTGTATTGCAAACCATGCAATTAGCAACTAATAGTGAAAAAAGTAATATTGAATATAACAAAAACATTTTACTATTGTCTGGTGAGGAAAGTCAACACTCTATTATAGTAGACTCCGGGCGTACCATTGAATTATGTTTCGGTAAATACTGGAAATGTCTATCGGATATTGAGATTAAAATTAAAATTCAATTCAATGGCATTCAATTGCTTAATAAACAATCACTTATATTGGTTGGTTTTTTTTAATTATTGGTTTATATTTTAGTAATTAATTTATATTTTAAAATTATATTTTAGTCATCAACTGATTTTATATCAACTTTAGATATTAAATCTAATTTTACATTTGAAACAATTACTCCAAGAATTTCATTATATTATTATGAATTGCACATCAAGTATGAAAAATTATTTTATGAAAAACTATTTTAAATAAATTGAAAATTTTTAATATCAATTTATTTGAATTATATTATTTAGACCGACTAATAGTGAAATAAACGCAATGTCTGAACGCGAGACAATACCAAAAGGACGATGTTTTTATGAATTAATTTTAACTTATAAATTTAACTTGGTAATTATATTTTATATAATGCTTAAATTGTTAAATAAAAATTTTAATATTTAAAATATATGCTATACTTTACTAAATTTTTAATTATATTATAGCCTAAAGATCATGAAATATATATAAATTCTAATATAAGTCGTTATTACGATTTTGAATTACAAATGATTATGTTATTTGAAGAGAAAACTAAACGATATATCGATTATGGATATTATAGACAATCAAAAGTATTATATATAATTAAATTATGAAAATTATTTTATATAAATCGATTTATACTTAATATTTTAAGTTTAACTTAAAAATTTTGTATAAAATAGATTTAATTTTATTATAATTTTATCATTTAATTCCGTCTCAAGTAATAACATAACAATTAAAATAATTTTTTAGATGAAACTGAAAAAAGGAGATTATTTAATTAAAATTCAAGTTTGTCACGAATTGGTCAACAATTTAAACAAATTAAAAGACACAGTAATTACTGTATGTTATAAATTATCGCCTACTCTGTCATTAGATATTTATGACAATCGCGAAAAAGCCATCACCGGTGGCACTAAAATAGTAAATAACTATTTGGTCCCAAATAAAGTCAAACAATTGTTTATAAAATCATTGTCCTCGTCATCAGTACCGTTGGGTTTACCAGAATTGGTTGCCGGCAGTTGTTTCACGGGATATATCTATTTGTTTGATAATTTTACTCATTTACTACAAGAGGACAATATTTTGTATATTAATAATACTGACTTCAAAAAGTTGTCACCGGATAATAGTATCACTAATCAAAACAAAYCAAAAGAAAATAACAAAAAGTTGCCAAAAGACGAGTTTAATGAGGAGTTGATTAAATTGAAATGTAATTGGATTTCAAAGTAATGTGTTTTTATTATTATTATTATTATCAATAAAAATCCAAGTTTTATGTAATCAACTATTTTTTAGATTAAATAAAGAAATGAGTGATCAGTTATTTGAAGAATTGATTGCCGACAACAAAATAAATGCCATACTATTGCTGTCGCGAATTAAAGCGCTTGAATCGGATGATTGTCGGTCACAACATTTAGTGGACATCATTACAATGTCCGATACAATCATCAACGACATCAATATCGATGACCTGATTTCACAAATGGCTATCAAAAAAAGTGAACAAATAGAAAACGAAGAAGCGATCAAAAAGTTTGTTTATAATTAATATTTTGAAATATTTACCGTTAGTTTTAAAGATTATATTACAGTATATTTAAATATTATTTGTTTCTAGTATTGAAACAAAAAGATCACAACTATTGGAAGCACTCGTCAAAAAAGGTTTGGCTATAAGTGATATCATAGATCCGTCAAACAAACAAAATGTTGACATCAATGGGTCGAAACAATTGACTGATAATAAGGAAATTGACGAAAACAAAACTCAAGAGTCAAAAACTATTGATAATAAAGAAAACATTAATGAAAATGTTATTAAAGAAAATAAAGAAAATTCTACTAAAGAGTCCAAACTTGTAGATTCATATGAGATGACTATAAATATTAACGAAAATAATATTAAAAATATATTGATTAATGATATAAAAGAAATTGAAAATAAAGAAATCAATAAAAGTGAAACTAAAATGTCTAAAACTATTGATAAAAATGAAACTATTAATAACAATGAACTTCAAAAGTCTTGTAATACTAATGAGTCCAATGATAATGAAAGTAAAGAAATCAAACCACATGAAGACACAACTAATGCTAGTTATAGTATCAATGATTTGAATGTGATTTTTCAAATGATTTGCAAACTTATTGATCCTTACGATCTAAAAGTATCAGATTTTACCGAAAGACACGCCATTATGAATGGACAGTACGGTCGGGCATTAAAACTGTTTATGAAAAAATTAGAATTATTACCAACAAATGATAATATTGATAAATGTTTCAAGGTACATTTGTTTTCATATTTAAATCAATATACGACTAAAATTAAATGTTATATTTGTTATATAGATATTAAATGACTTGAATTGGACTCATATTATCAATGGTTTTATACGAATAAAACATGTGATGTTTCCCAAAGAATTTAAAAAATTTTGATAAATTGTATATCTTTTTAATTTACATTTATATTCTATGATTTATTTTATTAATATATTTGCAATTATTTAATGTTTAAATTATGTATGCATTAAAAATTCATCAAATTTTGATATTATTTCTCAAACTGAATGCTTTAAATTATGCGTTTTATTCTTGTATTTTAATAATAAAATATATAAAATTAAAGATTTAAAAAATCTATTGATATTATTTTATTTTATATCTGGATTTTATTTAAGTTATTGTATGTAAATCAATAAAATATTATATTTGTTTACTATATTTTGAAATTCTATGGAAAAATAATTGTTAGTTTATTACAGTAATTAAAAATAACTATTATAATTTTTACTAATAATTTAATTTGTTTACACTAAATTTAAAAAATCTATACTTATTTATAAATATATTTTATAAATATACTGATATCAAACTAATAATTTATGTTATATACATAAAACATTAATTACTAAAAATATAATCAATATATAAATTATCATAAAATTATTTATTATTAAAGATATAACTTACTTTATATTACATAATTATAATTACATAAATATTTTTGTTTTATTTTTAACGTTTATTATTAAAATATATTAAATGCTGATCTCATTAATTATTTAATAATCAATCGGTAAATAAATAAATAAATGATTTATGTGTTAAATGTAAAAGTAAATTTGTAATACTGTTTATTGTTTGTTGCATTAGTTTATTTTCTTAATATCAAACCATATAAATTATAAATAAAGTATTGATTAATGATTATTTAATATATATTAAATAGTTGTTATAATAGTTGTTATAATAGTTGCTAAAAAACTGAAATAGTTATTTATTTTTTATATTTTGCAAATAATTACATTAATTTTGATTAGAATGTATGATAAAATAATATTTCAATTTTTTCTTTAAATCTCAAGCGTTTATTACTTAAAATATTTGAAAATTTATAAAAAACTTGTCAGTAGTTGTTTAATAATTGCCAAAAAAATCGAAATAATACTTTTTTTTAAGTATTTGCATATTTACTAAAATTATATATTCAAATATATTAGTTATTTCTTTTGTTAGTGATTTTACAGTTTTATATCATTTTGTAACTAATATTTTGTATTTTTACATATATTTGTGGAATATTTTACAGTTTAATGCTTATATTTTTCAAAATCATTGAAATAATTATTTATAAGTTTTTATTATTGCTAACCCATCAAATAGTTATTTATAGTTATAATAAAATTTTGGTAATAGTGTCCATTTGTCATGTTTGGTGGACACACTAAGTCACAGTTATAAGCGTTAAACTAATAAAATAGATTTTTTTTAGTTGGAAATCAAGACACTACTTATAAATTACATCTAAGTTTAAACAATTTATCATTTAATTTATTAGTAATATTATATTTTAATTAAGTTTATTGACGTTATTATGAATTAATTTATTTTTAATAATTATTATTATTATATATCAATAAAATAAATAGATTCATTTGGAATATTTGCTAATAATTATGAAATATTGATTTTGATAACAATTTTGGATAAATACTAAATTATTTATAACTTTTAGCAAAATATTGTATATAAAGGGTTAAGACATTAAAGAAAATGTTATTTTGTGTTAATTATTACCAAATAGTTTATATATACAAAAAAAATTATTAATACTGTATTGTAAAACATGAAACATTTGACACATTATAATATGTTTGTTGTTGTCTTAATAATAACAATTGCTATGAGCAATGTTATATCAGATGTCAATGGAAAGAGTGATTTATTGAACGTGAATGTACCTAATTTAGGTCTACCCGTTCATCTACCGAACCTCAATATTCCTCCACTACTGGACGTCACTTCAGAGTCTCGTAAACGTCGCGATACAAAACTTCAAAAATAAATTGTACTTTAAATTGATTGTTAATATTTTAATATTATAATACTTAACAATTTTTTTACTATATTTTGTTCAATAAACAATTGTTAACTTTGTTATACTAATAATTATATATTAATTATTAATTAATTAGTATAATATAATAATGTTAATTTTTAATTAGGTAAGCAAAATTTTTGTTTTTAGTTTATTAATTATTTAAGTTGTTAACTGTATTTTTAATTATATTTTAATTTGATTAATAAAGAATTTTAAATATACTATATATTATATAATATTAAAAATTACTTACGACCATGATGAGTTGGTAAAAATAATTAATCATTTATTTAGACTAATAATTAACAATAAATAAAAATATTGTATAAGATATATTTTATTTATTTCAAAAACCAGATAGTACAATAAATATTTTATAATAAATTAATCAAGCTCATTTGTTTGATTAAAATCAATATTTTGTTTTTGAAACTCAGCTAAAAAAGGTTTATTTGCAAACAGATGACTGGGAACTGGTCTTCTACCACCAGGTCGTCTACCGTTGCCTGAATTGGCTCCAATGATAATACCTCCCTGTCCATTATTAGTGCCAATACCATTATAACTTTGTCCTGAATTGTTTCCGTGAATATTACCCTCTTTTCCACTTCCAGTTCCTTTAGGTTTATTAGTTACTGAATAATCTGTTGAACTATAGTTTGTAATATAATTTATATCGCTTTCGTTTAACTCGACATCCATTGCATGAATATCTTTGCCAATCGTGTCATTCGGTACTACTTCTTGTGGTAATTCCTCGACATAATGAACAGTCGAGTATTGGAAACCCTCTTTCATAGGACCGATAATTGGCGGCAGAGATGTGGTTTGTATCGGTGGCCGAGGAGTTGTGGATCGGGCCAGTGCTGTGAATATCCATTGGGGTAACCAATCAAGACGTGGTGTCGACAGTAATGGTCTGCGATGTGTAGTCAATAGAGGTGTTAATGTAGAAATTAATGGTTCAGCATATTTGGTCTCAATTATAGGCCAATTAATAGTAGGAAGTGTATACAATGTTGCACTCAATGGCCTAAGAGTTAACTTAAATTTTTTATTAGTTTTATCCTCATTTGCTGTTGTTCTCCATTGATCCGATTGAGTGTAAAACCCTTTATTTGATACCGACTGATCACTGGTTGATTGAGTCGATAGACTAGATGTCATAGGAGTTGATGGTGTAGTTGTTATGGCTGTATTGATAGTTGAAGCGGTGAATCCTAGTGTTATTCTGTTGTTTTCATGATTATGTTTTACAGGCCACGGAAAACGGTTTCGTTTTTTAGTTGTTTGAATAGGTATGGCATCTGTTTGAGTCTGAATTGTAATAATAGGAGTAGAAGTAGTAGTAGTCGTCGTACTAGAAGTAGTAGTTGAAGAACTGGTAGACAGAGTTACCGGTTGACTGTTTTCTACAGTTTTTATTGTTTCTACATTTTTAGATTTGTCGGTCATTTGCATTTCATTGGTTGTCAAAGTTGTTGTAGTTTTCGGTTTGTCTTTAGATATATTATTAATAAATTTATATTGTATTATAAATTAAGTTAATTTAAATATTACAAAACTACTGTACCTGTAGTGGATGTTGTATATTCTTGATGTTTATGCACATCAGTGTTAGTATTACTCATTTGCGGTCCAATAACCGGTGGGTTAGTACTTGGAGTGGGCTGTGGTCCTAATGTTGGTACAGTTTTAGTGGTCAAAGTCGGAAACACCAGATCCGATAGTGTTAGCAATATTGTGTCATAATTAGGTGATACTATTTCACCATTAGGTGGTTTTGTAGCCGAAAGTATACTATTAATTTTTCCCAACAATGTATCCAGGTCAATGTTAGGATATGGTATATAATTGTCTTTAATATCATCAAATAATGGCAAATCAAGCTTAACTGGCTTAAACTCTTTAAAATCACCCTCATCATCGTGTTGTTTTTGATCAAATTTATTTATGCGATTTATTTGGAACTGTATATCATTTTTAGGTCTTTCAGTTGATCTGAACACCCGATTGCGGACCAATTTAACGCCGGACGACATCTCATTTGCATTTGTTATAGAATCCAATAGTTTGGATGTCATTCTCTGTGGTCTTTGTTTGAATTTATTTGTTATTTTATTTGCTTCTGTAGTTTGCGATTCATGTTGTTTATCGAAATCATTAGATGACACTCTAACTACTGGTAATTCAATAGTTTTTATTGAATCCAATTCTTTATTATCAACAATTTGATCCTTACCGCTAAATTTATTTTTAATATTACTATTACTAGTATTATTAACATCCATTTGTACTTCAGTTGATCCTGTAGTTGATGGCAGAGTTGTTGAAGTATTAAAGTTATCTACAATCGGTGGTGTAGTTCTGTTGCGATGTATTGTAATCATTTCCCATTTTTCCGGATTAATGATCTCAATGACCACTTGGTCATCATTTCCCGATCCAATTGAATTTATCACCGGTGCTGGCATTTCAGGTGCTTTGCTTGTAGTGATTGGCATATCAGTTGTGGTCGGAGTTGGTGTAGTAGTAGTTTTAAGACTGATTGTCGGCATCTGAATCTTAGGAATAGTAATCATAGTAATGGTTTCATTAGACAATATCTGGAATTGTCTTTCAGTGGTAATATGTTTAGTGGTAGCAGTAGTTGTTGGTTTGGTTGTAGTTTTTGTGTCAAATTTAATGGGAATTATCGGTGGAACTGGTGGTCGCCAATCGGGTTTAAATGTTATAAACTGTTTGGCATTATTAACAGTATCTGATGATATATAATTGATAAAATCTAAATTATCCACTTTATATGGATCATCACTATTGAGATTATCTTCATTGTCTTCGTAATCTTTATTTAGAAGACCATCATTAGATCCATGTAATGCAATATTAGAGTCAATACTTGACAATTTATACGGTCTATCAGACAATGGATTCATGGATTCATGAGCTGTAGGTAATGGGCTTACAGTTGTCGTAGGTTTACGTTTTGTTTTCAGACCCAACAGTTCAATCAACGATTTTGTAGTACCTTTACTGGTCTGTGTGGTGGACGTCGAAACAGTTTCATCAGAGTATGGATCGTAAAAACCGTCGGAGGGATAACCTCCGGGTTTGTCCCGATTATTACCATCTTTAGGTGTCTCGTCTGTCAATTTAATTGCACTATTGGTAGTGGATTTTGGTCTGTCGTCCAGAACAATGTATGGTATCGATGGATCAGTTTCTGTATCACTCGGCTCTCCCCAAAACCCCTCTCCGGGTGGGCCGGCATTGGATGTGGTTGTCGTAGATTTTGTATCATTACTTATAGGTATTATAGCATTGATTAGAGAATCTATCATTGAATTGAATACATTTTTACGGTTTGTCGGCTTATTATTAGTGATAATATCATTACTATTACTATTATTATTAAGATTTGATGTCACTGCTGACGATGATCGCAATTGTAAGTCTATATCTGATTGTGCACTAAATGTATTAGTTTGTAGTAATCCGGTTATAATGAATAATAATTTAAAATGCATTTTACTTTACAAATAACGACTATTTTTAATAAAACATTTTATTAGTAAACGTTAAAAAACTAATTACAAATTATAACTAAAAAATGTTTTCCGTTACATTGTGAACTAATTTTTATTTAAAATATGATTAAACATTATAAACTAGTAAATTATAAAAAATAAGTATATCATATTTTTAAAAATGTTAATCCAGATGTTATATTTTAAATTATTTATTAAATTTGTTTATTTTATGGTCTAATTTCTAAATTTTCTAAATATAAAAAAATTGCTTATTGTCATGAAATCTAAACTTTTAGCTAGCATATTTTTGGTATTAGTAATTATTATTATTACAATTTACTTATGATACCATATAATGATATTATTTCCGCCATAATTATAATTACCTCAAGTGATAATCATAAATTAAAAAAATAATTTAATATACATAATATAATGTTAATATAACGGCAAAGTAAAAATAAAACACTATAATTTTAAATACAAATTTCTCAAAATTATATTTATTTATAAATTTATTATGTTATTAGTACTGTATACTTATGTACTGCTGTATACTATATGAGTAACTTTTATATATGTTTGAAACTGATAAATTTATATATTTATAATTTTTATAATGTTATAGAATATACTCAAAATGATAAAATCTCTATTTTATTATATTTTTAATACAATACAATTATTTAATACATATACTATATTACCCCTATTTATAAAATTTATATTATATTTTAAATTTATTTTTATTATAATTTTTAATTACAAAATATATAAAATGTATATTTTTATACTCTATTCATATTATTATACTACTAAACAATTAAATATAACTAACTAAATGAATTTTTATTATAAAATCAATATAAATTTTAAATGTCTTATATTTATATTATTATTTAACATTTCGTATACATTTATTATTGATGATGACAATTATCGAAATAGCGTATGTATATAATATTTATATAAATAATTATTAAATAAATATTAAATAAATTATAATAAATAGTTGCAATTAATAGACTCACGAGGCTTTAAAGCACAGACCCATACTGTTAACACAAGTGATGGTTATATAATAACAGTATTTCGTATAATAAATCCATATTTGAATAATACCAATAAAAAGCCAATTATCTTATGGCACGGCTTAATGCAAGACTCGACCACTTGGTTGGTGTCCACTGATGGTCGGATAAATGAACACAATATATACATTGAAAATAATCAAATTGTCAACGATTGTGAGTTAACTGTCACATCAAGTTTGGCATTTACATTATCTGCCTGTGGTTATGATGTATGGCTACCCAATTATCGGGGAACTGGATACTCAAACGGTCATGTTTTATACGATTCTATATATGGTATGAATTTTACTTTAAATATTAGTGTTTTTAATAAAATAATATAAAAATAGATACAAAATATTGGGAATTCACGTTCACTGAACTGGCATTATATGATGTGCGGGCAGTTGTTGAGTATATATTGAGAAAAACACTTCAGTGTAAACAAAAACTATATTAATTACAGTGTAATACTGTTTCATAAATTATTAATACCTATGAATTGATAGCTTCTGTAGGATATATCGGTCATTCCCTGGGATCGACCACAATGTTCATACTATTATCACTTATGCCAGAGTTTGAGCGATATGTCAAACCTTTTATAGCTTTCGCTCCGTTTGTTTTTATGTCAAATATGAGAAGCAATTTGCGAATTGTTGAAAATTTTGAATCAAATTTAAGGTAACATAACGTAATTAGCTATAAATTTTAAACAAATATTTTATATGTGGATTAAGAAATATTCCCAGAGCTGTTGGCATACCTGAGTCAATCAGACAATTGATTGGTGTATTTATTTGTGGCAATCAATATTTTATAGATATTTGCATCGATACATTTGTTAATCAAGCCAGTGGCTATGACCCTGATAATTTTAATACAGTACTATCATTTTATATAAAATAATGTTATTTAAAGTTTAAACTTTTAATAAAATTATAATTGATTTTGATAGACGCGATTACCTATATATGTAAGTCATACGGGATCAACATTTTCAACCTGGATTTATGCACATGTATCTCAACTTATTAGAACCGGTAGATTTGCATTATTCGATTATGGTATACAACAAAATAAGGAACGATATGGTCGATCAGTTCCACCTGATTATCCATTGAATCATATTTTATCTAAAAATATTGCTCTGTTTTATGGATTAAATGATTTGGTGGCCAATATTACCGATGTTTTGACATTAATAAATAGATTGAATGGTAATATAATGTAACAATTAATATACAATTAATTAAAATTTATTATTACAGTAAAGTTACTTGATAATTATTTGGTGGCACATCCTAAATGGACACATCATGATTTTAATGTTGGAGTACATCAGGGACAGTATGTTAATAAACGAGTACTAAAACTATTGAAACCATAATAATAATAATAACCAGTATAATATAATATAATATAATATAATAATTAAACTTAAAAATAATGTCAGAAATAATTTTTTGATTTTGCAAATTAAAACTTGATGTATAAAAAAAATATTAGTAAAATTTTTATATAATTTTTGTGTGTTTGTAATATGTCTTCAGAAATATTTTTAATTATTTTTGAATGTAATGTTATTTAAATAAAAAATATAAATTTATTAGATTTTTCAAAATGTAAGATATAATTAATACGACACACGTGTCGGTGGTGTCCAACCATTGAATGCCCTCTCGAGTTCTTCGGCCACAGCGATACTTAAATGATCATTATATGGACGGGTAATCACTTGAATACCAATAGGTAGACCATTACTGGACAGACCTAAAGGCACTGATGTTATGGCAACATCTAATGTATTGAATATACAGGTATARGAAATATTCTTAACTTTTAATATCGTTCCGTTATGTTTAGGTGCTGTTAAAAATTAAATTAAATTTTAAGCTCTGTTTGAATTTAACTGTAAAATTGWTTTTTAAAAAATCATAGCCTTTTCTACCTATTTCTGGATGACCTGGAAATATGAATACACCATTATCACCTAAAATAATCATTTTTAAAATTAATAAATATTTACAATAAATATTAATTAAAAATATTACCCAAAATACTGTGTAATCTTTCTGTTAATAGTTGTCTCATTTGTTTTAATTGATGAGAATATTGTTCATTTGATAGACCAGTAATTAAATCGTCAAAACARCTGACAATTGATGGGAAAGTTATGTTTGAAAGACCAACAATTGATTTTATTAATTCTAGCCATGGATTGATAGCACCATTTAAATTAGCCAACTCTTGCTCTAGAGTTGGTGATGTACTGTCGCTCATAGCGCACATCCATATATCAAAACCAAACTCCAATTCCTTGAGATATATTTTCTCAACATTTGAACATTTATTACATAAGTGATCGACACAACAATATATTGCATTTATAATCTCTGAGTTTAATGGACTGATAGCCGGGTTTTTGAGGCCTAACATGTAGTAAACATTAATTTGACTTATGTCTACGTTTTGGTCTAACTTTAATTTTGTCGCATTAGGTCCGGCCATCACTTTGAGTACTGGTTTCAAATCGCTGGCATATCTACACAAACTGGAAATATGTTATGGAAATAAATTATTATAAAAATTTATTATTAGTATTATATAATTATAGAAATATATAATTAAATTTTACAGCAATTACAGTGAAATAACTAAAATGTTTTAAAATAAAATAAAGTTTATTTCTATAAATTATATTGTATATACAGTATAGTGTCTAATAGTCTGTATACACTACCAGTAAATAAATTATATTTATTATAATACATACGGTCCGACTGATAATAATTGTTGTTTTGATGCGCTAAACATGGGATATATGCCATCAGTAGAAACAATACCGTTTGTAGTCTTGTGGCCAAAAGTGCCGCAAAAATATGACGGCTCACGGATTGAACCACCGATATCTGAACCAACCTATAGATCAATATATTTATTTACTTTTAATTAAATACTTTATATATCCTATAATCACTAACACCAATGAGAGAACCGGCCGCTGCTATGAGCGCCCCCTCGCCTCCTGAACTTCCCCCTGGTATACGACTTTTATCATATGGATTGTTGGTTCGACCATAAAGTATATTAGTCGAGTGCCACCACATTATCAGCTCCGGTACATTAGTCAAAGCAATAAATATGGCACCGGCTTTGCAAAGTTCACTGATTACTGGACTATCATTTGACGAAATAATACCTTTCCTCGCAAACAAACCAGACGTCCAATACATGTCTTTGATTGCAAACGAGTCTTTAGYTGTAAACGGTATGCCAAGCAATGGTTGGTCGTTAACRGACTGACCCGTAAGCGGATCATTGCCATCGAGTTCGTGACGTACTCGACGGTCCACATGTTTGGCCTCTTTAATGGCCGACTCATAATTGGTTTGAATGATGGCATTGATGTGTGGCTGTACTTCTCTACATCTATTGATGTATGCATTTATCAAATCTTCACATTTTAGCTGAAAAAAATAAATTCATAAACTTTTTTTTTTAAAAAAAAAGTCATATATTTGATTGGATTGTCACATTGATAACTACCTGTCCACTTTTAATTTTGGCACTCAATGTATTAGCTGATTCCAGTAACAGTGGGTTAGTTATGGCCGGTAAATATTGTCTATTAGTTTTAAACTTTAGGCCTATTATCCAAGCAATCAAATCGAGAAGTTTACGTAAAAACTTTGCAATAATTGATTGCATTTTTATTGATGACATGATTTTTGTAATAAAATATTGAATACAATAATAACAACAAAAACAATATTACATTTATATTTAATAATGTATTGCACTCTACTGTTAATACAGTGTCATAATATTTGCATTTAATAATCATTACAGTAATGTATTACTGTTTATACAAAAGCATTGATAAACTGCTTAACTATTTTAACTGTAAATAACTGATCATCACTTGTGTTATCTAATCATCATTGTATGACATGTGCACAGTTGTATCTATGCAACTAAACTGTATATAAATTATTTGTATATTTATAAGTAATTTTTTTTTTGAAAAACTAATAGTTTATAGTTATTATATTATAACTACAATTGGATTGCAAGTCATTGCTGACAATTTACAAGAAAAATTAATAATCTTATTTAATGTTAAAATTTATAAAATTAAATAGATCAATCTACTTGACAATTGTTTTTTTTTAATAAATTATTTGTAACCCAAAACAAATTAATACAATCCACTATACAACAAACATGTACAGTATATAACAAAATAAACTTTATTATTGTTGAAAAACAATTAATATTAGTTAATAAATATATCAATTAAATTGATAATCCATATTAAGTGAAATATCCCAGAATTGTTATTAATTAATAACTATTGAAATAATAGTAGAAATCCGTATTCATGAGAATCATATCAAATGTTAATTAAAATTAGAAATTAATAAACAAATTGTAAAATTGATTATGTTAGTTTTATCTAATGTTACAATAACAATACAAAAATAATTTATATAAATTGTAGGGAATCCTATTTTTATTGAACATTTAATTAATCAAGGTGAATTGACAATTGTTTTATATAAATTATTTTATTATTATCTATTTTATAATGAAGTTTGTATATACAATAATTTTAATAGTTTATACAATATCTAAAACAAATGGCCATGGTTATATAGCTGATCCACCATCCCGGTCAAGCGCCTGGAGGTTTGGATTCAAAACACCTAAAAACTATAACGACAACCAATTATTTTGTGGAGGATTTGATGTATTATTTATTAGTTAAATATATAAAATACAATTTTGATTTTTATAACAATACTTTCAAAACTATAGAATCAATGGAAAGTAAACAATGGAAAGTGTGGGATATGTGGTGATCCATATCAGGGACCGTTGGATAATGAACTTCCTAACGGTATATACGCCAAAAATTTAGTCATTACTCGATCGTACAAAACTGGACAACAAATAAATACAGTGATAAACATTACGGCCAATCATATGGGCTTTTTTCAACTCAAACTTTGTCCGACAACTTCTATGAATAAAGAGGTCACTCAGAAATGTCTCGATAGTCATACTCTTGAAATTGTAGGTTCAAAAGATAAATATAAATACAACGTTCCCGGAGAAAAACCTAAAGTATATACCATTCCTACTCTTTTACCAAAAGGACTGACATGTAAACGATGTGTGATTCAGTGGACATACACTGCGGGAAATTCATGGGGTCAGTGTCCAGATGGACATTACGCTGAAGGTTGCGGACCACAGGAAACGTTCAGAGGCTGTGCCGACGTTACCATTCATTAAAATATCACGTTTTTAAAACTTTGTTCAAAAATGATTGCATTTTTATTGATGACATGATTTTTTGTATTCAAATATTTCATAMAATCATAAATAACAATAAAAATAATACAATAGTTCTGTAACTAACTTTAGTCTTCTTATAATTGATTTAAAATCTAAAGTTTTTTATTATAACAAAATTTAAATAAAAAAGATTATATTATACATACATATTTATAATACAGTATATAATAAAGTTTATATTATAAAATACAGTATAAATTCTATGAGTTAGATATATAAGCTACTTTATTTGTAATAGTTTATATGTTTTTGAATTTTATCAAGGTTTACTCAATAAATTGTAATTAATTTTTTCATATTTGATAATTAAATCTATAATTAATAAGTTATCAATTGAAAATATTGAACATATAGTATAATGTAGTAGTGATGTAAACTATGCTAAAATTTTTGTCCTGATTTGTCCCGTCATCTGCTGTTTTGTGAGATATTTTATAACCTATTATTTTTATTATTTCAAACTACTTTATATTATAAATACAGATTTGTATATATAGTATATTATATGAATTATTTATAATTATAATAAATTTATTTATTTTATAGTAATTAAATAAACAATTATTATTATTAACTTTTGTATTATTTATTTAAATTTAATTTCTCGACACAACTTTGCATAAAAATGATATTATTTTGCTATTTTAATTACTATTTAAATTATTTAATTCATATAAGTTAAAAATAATTGGATTTAACAATATTTCAAAATTATTATAAACTTTAATTTAGATATTAAATTATAAACTCAAAAATCCATTCATAAAAACTATTGCTTCTCCAGTAATATGAACTCTTTGTCCAACTATTTTACACGAAAGCAATCCTCCTCTTTGTGAACATTGTTTTGCAATAAAATCATCGACTTGTTGTCCATTTTTATTGTAATCCCTGACCCAATATGGTGTGAGTACAGCATGTGCTGATCCCGTCACCGGATCTTCATTARTACCAACATTGGGACAAAAAAATCGACTAAAGAAATGCTCAGATCTATTGTGATAACCTTTTTGTGTGACAATTATACCGATTATCTGTTTGTTTGTCTTCACACTTAAAAGTTTATCAAAATTTGGAGAAACTTTTGTTATAAGACTTTCAGATTCTGTACAATCTTTAAGTCTTAATAAGAGATACTTTATTTCAGATGAATATTCAATATCTTGAATAAGATTTGGATCCATATTTGATCCTAAAGTGTATTCAATAATTGAATCAATCCATGAGTCTGATTGTCTATCAATAGGTATGCAATCTTGTAGTGGAAAATCCAAAGTTATTTTATTGTTAATAGGATTGACAATTGCTGCCAGAGTTCCCATATATTTAGTGACAAATTTAATAGTAATCTGAGTGTCAGATATATTATGTTTATAAAATTGTTCATAAATGACCTTGGCACTGGCCAATGTAGCATGACCACATAGTTCAACTTCGGTACGGGGAGTAAACCATCTTAATGTATAGGTTTGGTTGTCCTCTAGTTTTGAATTTGTGTCCCAACTTTTGGCCACATAAGCCGTTTCGCTTAAATTCATTTCAAAAGCTATTTTTTGTTTGACGACATCCGATATACAGTCCTGTATTTAAATTAATATAAGGTATTATTTATTCAAAAAAAAAAATTTAATTTATTAATATTAACTGACATCAGACTCAAGTATACAAACTGCGGCTCCATTTCCCGTAAATTGTTGGCCATTGACTGCAAAAGCGTCGACAGTATATATCGGAAGATTCATAACTAATATTAACTAAATCAATGTAATGTTTACTAATTTATAATAAAATTGTCAGTAAATTTATAGATACTGTATCAAGGTCAATTTTGATTTTTTTTAGTTAGTTAAGTTTAGTTGTTATGTTATACATTTTACTGTAAAATATACATGCTTACTGTCTACAGTATTATTTATGCGTATACTGTACTGTATATGCAGTATACAAAATATACAAATTTATATATATATATATAATAGTATATAATACTGTATATACTATATATTTATATAGTTGTATATTGTATATATTATATACTATTTATATATATAAATTTGTATATTTGTAAATTCTTAATAAAATATTTAACAATTTAATTTAGCTTATTATTGTTTTTTAGRACACATAAACCTAAATTTAAAAAATAATTATTCAATTTATAATTTAATAATTATAAAAAATTATCTTATCATGCATTCATTGAGTTAATAATGTAAACACATTAAATTTTTTAAAATGATTAGATTGTCGTTTATACAGTTTTGCTAGGGTTTTACGGTAATATTATTTATTAAAATATAACATTTAAAAATATATATATAATGTCTTTATAAAATAATTTATTATATTTTTAATATTTTGATTAAAAATTATTTAATTATTAATAGATCTTTATAAATATATTATATAAATGTATATTGTTACTAAATTATCCCTTCATTAATTATCGTAACTATTAAAATATAGTTTTTTTAAACTTAAAATTTTTAAAATTCTAGTATAACATTATCATTCATATTATATACAATATTTGTGATATACCAATGTGAGGTATAATACAATATGTATGTGATTATATGTAATATTTTTATTGGTACTGTTGTTATACAATGTCTATACAATCATTTAATAAACTAATTTCTATTATATTTACTAATATAATAATTATACAACAATTATACAACAATTTTATAATTAGAAAATCAATGCTTTGAAAAACATTTCATATGATATCAAAAATTAGATATCAAGAAACCAGAAAATTTTAAAGTTAAATAAATTAGATTAAAATTATTTATAATTAAAAATTTCAGTTTACAATTGACTTAAATAATATTAATGCCAAAGAAATGCTAGAAATTAATAAATAAAAATTGAATTTTATCATACATTATAAATTGACCATTGTAAACTAGATGATATCACATAACAAACAAATTTTGAGCTTACCCCCCCCCACTCTTTATATATCTAGTTAAATCCAGTGAAGTTATTATCACTAAAAAATTATTTAAAAAATAGCTACTGGTAAATGTAATATATTTGTTTAATTAATATAAGGAGTTGTATAATCATTTGATAACCACTGATTTAGTCACACAATAAGTAACAAATAGTATTATAAATGATAATATTAAGTTCAATATAAAGTTCATATAGTAATCATAATTGACATTTAATATCTCATATAATTATTGTTAAATAATCATAAATTATTCCATTTTTAAAGATTATGAATCTTACAAAATGCAATATCAATACAGTTTTAAGTATACAGTATTATAAACATGCGGTGAAATACAAAATAATTATAGTTGATATATAAACTCAATTAACTATTTTAAAAATATTGTTAAGTTTTTTTTTATTCATAAGTATGGACAATAAATATTCAGATTTAAAATATAAAAATGAAAAAAATTTTGATCAAAATATCAATATTATAAAAAATGATGATGATGACAATAATAATAAATCATCAAGCTCAAAATCTATGTACAAATGGTTTCAAACATTGTATTATCAATGGGATAAATATGTTTATACAGTGTGTATATTAGCTGGATGTCTAAACTATGTAATTATAATTATTAAATATAATTATAAATAAAATAAAAATTTGTAAATATATAAAATGAACTAGGGCATAACGAGCCAGATATTTGCAGCATGCACAGTYGACTTCAAGTTCATATTTCACACATCTATGGCAAAGATATCAATTACCAACACATTCTCAGCGGCCGGTTATTTAGCCGGAGCTTTGTGTACGTAATTAAGTGTTTTTTAATGATTTAATATATTATATAATTATATTAATATRATTTAATGATTSCGAAATTTAGTTGGATTTTCCTATAAATATATCAATAGACAGCTGGCATTGACAGTATTGACKGCATTGATGGCAGTGACTACTATTGTGAAGCCTATGTGTAATGATCTTTGGTTATTCTACTTATTGGCATTTATATATGCAGTGGGCGGYGGGGCCTGGGATAGTGGCAATCAAGTCTGGAGTATTGAAATTTGGGGCGACTATAGTCCCGCTATTCTACAATTGCAGCAAATGATGTATGGTTTGGGTACAGTGTTGGCACCATTGATAGCCGAACCTTATTTATTCGGAGATCTCGTCCGAGAGGGATATGATGACCACCATCATCACGATCACGATCATCATCATCACACATACCAACCTTATCCATCACAAACTAGTTCCCAGTTATTTAATATGACATATAATACAAGCCATTACATCAATAATAACAAAAATGGTCACAAAGATAGCATTAACTATTCATTTGATAGACGACCGTCTCTTGAAAAACCGTTTTTAATAACAGGAGCCATATCTGCAATGAGTAAGTGTTTTATAAATACAATATTTTTTACTATATATATATACTAAAACTTATTTAAAAAATTATTTCATACAATACTTTTAAATGCTTTATTTGGTTTATGTAAGATCTAATTAGTTAAATAAATAAATGAAATAACACATTATATTTACTYATTTTTCTATATTAACACATATTTTGCTATAAATACAATTATCTTTAAATTGCAAGTTATTGTAACAACAATTAAAATATTATTAATGTTTGTAACACAATAAATAAAAATATAATTTAATATCAATTTATTATTAWAGYATTTCACATAAAAGCATTTAAATATTTAAAATATTTAGAAAGAAAATACTGTATATTATTATAATAATTAGATATTCATATAATATTATGACAGTAACAAATATTGATGATTTAATTTTTTTAAAAATATTATCAAATTTAATTGAATAGAATATAAATACAAATTAAGAAAATTATAAAATTTTATTATTTTGAATACTTAGTAATAAAATATACAATAATTAATTTTTAGTTTAAATAATAGTTGCAAATTACTATATACTGAATGTCATGTTATATCAATACAATACTTATTTGACTTTCAGTGACATTTTGGTAATAATTATATTCGTTTAGCATATTATGATTTTTTTAAGTCACAATTTTTCATAATTAACAGTTTGATAATAATTTTCATTTATAGTGCCGATTGTATTGTTCGTAATGTTTATAGTGAAGAGATATAAAAAGTCAGATCAAAATGTAAATAAATGTACGAATCAAGCGAAAGGCCTACAAAGTATGGTTGACTGCTATTCACCGAAAACCCGGTTTTTACAGATMATACTRTTTGCCTGTATTTTCAATGCCTATTCGGGTGTAGAGCAGACCTACCAGAATAATAGCGACACATATAATCAATATCTGCCTGATATCGAAATATCAGCCAAAAAAGCGGCAAATATATTGGCAGTAATGACGGCCACCTATACGGCCGGTCCGTTATTGACAGCACTATTTACCCGTCGATTTAGTCCAGAAATTTTGATCACATATCACATGACTATTATATTGGCTTCACTTATATTTTTACAATTTAGTACACATTCAATAACTTTGATTTGGATCGCAAATGTTATAATTGGTTTGAAACAAAAAAACTAATATAATTATTAAGAATATTATTAATAAAATATAATCCTTTAATTACACTTAGGATATGGTATGTCCTCAATGTATCCGTCTCTGTATGCCTTCACCGATAAACACCTGATACTGAACAACAAGATAACTGCAATTACGGCYTTCTTTTCTGGACTGTTCCCATTGGTGTCACCCTTTGTTATCGGTGCCAACATTGAAAAGCGTCCGCAAATATTTCTCTACCTTGAGTTGGCCTATACTGTCATAACTATTGTTATATTTATTTTTATTTTGTTTGTCATCARACAAGTCAAACGTAAAGTCATAGCAAAGTCAGCAAATGTTACTAAATTGTGATATATTTTAGTTATTTTTTTTGTTTTAAAATTAATAATATAGTTTTCATATAAATAATTTTTATTTTATTATTAATAATTCATTCATACTCATTATCTTATAAATAAATTTCATATATTTTGTATTATAATATCAAACAAACTGCTGATTTAGTATATTGTATAACTAAACTGTTTTCATTTTGATAAAAGTGCTGATAATTTCTATTGTTATATCAAATATATTACATAACAGTGATGTAAATAATAATGACTTTATAGATCTTTTATTATTTAATAAATTAGTATTAATTTATAGATAAAGTAATTGAATGATACAATTAAAAAATATTTTAAACTTTACACTAAAACTATATAATAAGCTTTAAACTGATACAAAAAATATTTTCCAAGTAATTAAATATATCCCATTAACCCATATATTGACCCATACTATTAATATGTATTTCATCTCAAAATTATCAAAAATGTGTAAATTATTAAAACTAAAGAGTTTTCACCTCTAACTTTAAACTTTATCATTAATATTTAACTACATTTTATTGATAATCATTATTCATGATATTTTGTTAAATACCTATTTAAGTATTTGTCATTGAATTACTTTATATCTCAAGTATTWTATATTTTACTACTATTAATGAAACTATTAACGTAATTGATAAATAGAGAGATAAAGTGTTAATTAATTTCATATTATTTAAAATACCATTGAAACAATATATATACATCTATACATASTTTWTAWTATAAACTTTATATTATAAACTTTATATATTTATATAAAAAAAGTTARCATAGAATTTAAATAAAATTTTCAATAAATTTTGTTATTTTGTTATTATTTAATTACTAAACATATTTTATAAATCACTAATAGCTGACTATTTATTTGCTAATAGATTGTCCATTAGATCTATTTGTTCCGATTCTTCACGTTTTAATGAATCGTATTGAACACGAAATCTATTAAATATTAATAAAAATATTTATAAAAGACTAAAAATTAGATATTATATTATAAATACAATTACTATTAAATACATCCAATGCTATACCTATTCAACTCGTTTTTCTTTTCCTTAATCAATGACATCAACTGTTGTACATCTGATTCATGTTTTTGCTGAAATGTCTTCAATAGATTTCGTGAACCGATTGCCTATTTTGATAATAATTTGTTGTTTAAACTAATTTATTATTGACAATAATATATTAGTTTATTACTTTATTTTTAAGACATAGCATTTTATTGTATATATTATATATTATTGATATTGATTATTACTTTMTATTATAATTTTATGTATTAATAAATTGTTTTAATATTTAGATATAATATTACATTAATTCTTGCATTTTCCACATCTTTGGCCAGATTTTCAATTATTTCTACAAAATTATCGACAATTTGTTGAAATTGTTGTGTTTCTGAAATTATATATTTTTAAACAATTTTTATAATAGTTATAATTTGAATGAAATATAAAAACATACTATCAATCAATTCAATGCTTTCATTCTTCAATTCACTGCTTTTATCAGTCAATTGGGGATCAATTATACAGATTTTGTTGGACTCATCTATATATAGACCGACGCTTAACATAAACTGATCTTTTGTTATATTATTCATTATTATTATTATTGTTTTATTAATAATTATATTATTTATTTAAATGAAATAACTAATAAATAATTTAATTTAATATATGATATACTGTATATCAAAGTGTTATAAAAGTATTATTGTTTTTTATATAAATAGGATAAACAAAAATATTACCATGACAACTTATTGTAAATGCAAATGTGATACAAAATATTGATCATTTAGATACAAAGTTAAAACTATTTTTTATAATCAATGTTAAGAGTTATTAATGTAATATAAATAACATAAATAAATACAATAATAATTAATTGCTTTTTGTAAAAACATCTTTATATAAATATTTTAAGCAATTTTTACAAAAATTTGTTTAATTTACAAAATCTGTGTATAAAAATGCATAAATTATAATAAATTAATAGAAATAATAGCTAACATAAAATTTAAGCATTAAACTATAAAATAAACTATTTGCACATATCTTAATAATATTACTTATTTAATTACAATTATTAAATTATAATATTAATTAAATAAAAAATTTATGAAACATTAAAGTTCTTTTAATTTAAACATAATTGTGATAAAATTAAACATACATTTAAAAGACTAATTTTGCTGATTTWTAATAAATATTAGTATACAATAAATATTTTTAAATTTTAGTAAATATTGTTTTCTTACAAAACTTATTTAAACATTTAAATATCATTTCCATTAATTTAAAGAGAAAACATTATAAATGCAAAACGTTGTAATAAATTGTTATTAAAATATCTGTTTCAAATCAAATGCTTTTTGATTTTGTCAACAAATTTATGCGAGAATTTTAAAATTTCTTAAAATAATAAACATTTCGCTATAAAAATATTAAAAGAAATGTAATATCAGTACAGAATAATTACAATATTATGTAAACATTTTGTATGAATTTTAAGTGATTTTCACATTCAGAAAATATGAACAAAATATGTTTACAATTTTTGCTAAACTATTTAAATAAATTTAAAGCTTTTGAATGTTTCGTTACATTTGATTTGAAAATTAGCAACTTATCAGATAATATCGTTTTGAAAAATAATTCAACTTTAATTATTTTATTGTCTATTTCACAATTGATGAAAAACTATGGCTTATATAATGCCAAGTAATATATATAATAATTATTTTATAAAATTTTGTTTTTAATTAATAAAATTTTAATATTTTCTAGTAATGAAAAGTAAGAATAAACCGAAGATAAAAACTAAGTCTAAACCAAAACCTAAGGATACAGTGGTTGATGTGATATTCAGTAATACAAAAGCAATGGACAGACGGATAAGCACTAAAAGTGGAGACAGTAGTGGTCTGGCCGTTGTAATACCGATTGCCGCCGATAATGATGATCGAGAGATACTGAAACCTCAACACAATGTGATATCTGGCGATACGTTTAACCAAACAAACTTAGATAACATGTCATTGGATGAGGGGGTCAACAGAGGTGGGTCACTGTTATTTGATTCATCCGATGATGACTTACAATATAAAATAAATATGAAACAGTCATTGAAAATAGACAAGGTCATTCGCAATATTATATTGAAAAATGATTTTAATAGCCAAAAGTTTATCAAAATTATAATGTTTATCCATTGCATTGAAGTATTTCTCTATATGATGGGCGTACGCATGGATCCCATTAAAAAGCACCTTGTATATTCACCTAAAGGCACCTGGTATAATTTTATGAGATTAGTACACAATACTAGTGTATTCCTGATAACTACCAGTTTATTGGTCTACTATTTGCTGTATTTTGTCAAAAATCTTAATGAAAAATACATTACGTTTGACGTAAACTTTCAAGAATTTTTATTAATGTCTGGTCTAATATTTACTACAATTTATGTCATTTATAATGTCAAGTATACGATCAATATTAGTGGTAACTATGCATTTGATGTCTATCTCATTATTGAAACATTGATCCATAAGGATGACCAACAATCGGCTAGATTTTCTGTAAATACCAACAGAATAATTATGATGACAACCCTGATTACTCCACCATACTATTGTCTATGTGGTTATTATCTATACAATGGATTCACCTCGTTCATATTTGTTTCATTAATTATTGCCGTTATTATCATATTTGGCTCAGTTATCAAATATATACTAATGTGTAAACTCATCAAATTTCGTGTTGAAAATCTCAATAAATATCTCTATGATATCAACTTTTATTTTAATGACAACGAATTCAATACTGATTTAGAAATTATCAAAAATTGGTGAGTCATTTATTTTTTAAATATAATTAATTTTTATTTAAYAATAAATTATATGTTTATATACCTAAAGGTATCCCCGTCTGTACACATCAGTCAAAGAGTTTAATAAATTCAATAAAACATTTATTAAAATGTTTATAACATTCAACTGTTACCTAATAGCCTACAGTTTATATCTGATATTAATTGTTGAAAAACATCTGATAATACACATAACAATTTATATAATCACAATACTATTGACTCCATTATCGGTATCGATGTTAATGTTTGGTCAAAATCTTAGTCAAAAAACTCAAACCCTGTTTGAAGACTATCTGATGAAATGGGATTCAATTGAATTCATTGTTGACACACAACGAGTTTATTCCTATATTATCGCCAGAAATATCTATTTATGTCTTATGAAATTAAAAACAATTGTTTACATAATATGTTTATTTATATTATTGCATATTTGTGTTATACTTGAGGCAAATTCAGTAATTATTGTCAATCATTTTCGACAAATATAAATAATTTATTTTATTTTTGTGTAAAATTGTAATTTTGAAATTCATAATTATATACATAAATATAATATATAGTAAGCAGGTCTTATTTTTATTATCTAAATGATTAATAAAAATTATARGATTATTTATAACATTAATCATAACATGAATTTAATAACGATGTTATTGTACAGTAATTGTAACTTTCTATTACAAAAAAATATTTAGTCTAACAATTGAAAATTKATTAATGATCAATATTAGGCCATTTCCATAAATAACTCTATTTAATATAAAATATATAGTATATGATACAAAATGTAATTGTACTCTATATACAAAAATTATCAATTTATGATATCCGTCTCAATTTTAAATTATAATATTTATTATAATAATAAAAATAATACATTTGCCTATTAATCTAATTATCAATATATTTTATCAAACAATCCAATTTTGCATTACAAGTGTATTTATATGACTAGAAACGGTTGACAACAAAATTGTATAAATATATGAAAAGTCTCTGAAAAAAATCATACACTTTATAATAATTGAATATAAATAAAATTTAATATTAAATTTTGTTTAATTTAAAATTACAATAATGTGCGCACAGGTGAATATATTTGATAGTCAGCGCAATGTTAAACAATACACTATACAGAACCTGAAGGGCACACTTGTGGTCAAACTACTCGATTACGGCTCTATTATTACAAACATACTGTTCACAGACAAGACTGGTCGACAACTGGATCTGGTTTTAGGATACGACACCTTTGATGGCTATCTGCGCAAAGATAATCCATATTTTGGTGCATTAGTGGGACGGGTGGGCAATAGGATAGCAAATGGTCAGTTCACTTTAAATGGTACTAAATATCAACTGGACATCAATGACTCGGCCGGTCATAACACACTTCATGGAGGACTCGTCGGGTTTGACAAAAAAATGTGGACATTCAAGACATCGACACCCGATTCGATAACACTAGAAGTGATCAGTTCAGATGGTGATCAACATTTTCCCGGAAGTGTTAGGTATGTCATTAATAAACATTCCTTATGTTTATTACTTGAAAATTAAAGATTAAGTGTTAAGAGTTTTAAATTAAACAGTTATTATTTACTTAATGTTTATTTTTATTTCAAGTAATTACAAGATTGTATAATTTTAAGGAAATATTTACGATATTTGTATATATGATAGTATAATGAAGTTCTTTATAATTACTTTATTATTTAATTTTTTTATATAATACTTAACACAGGGCTGGTATAACATATACTGTAACTGAAGATAATGAGCTCAGACTTGAATATACAGCACAGTTATTACCGGATTCACCGAAAGACACGACAATCATCAATCTGACCAATCATTCCTATTTCAATTTGAATGGTTGTACTGATCCCTCAGCCATATCTACTCTTAATCACGAGCTTCGTATGAATGCCGACCAGTTTCTCGAAGTCAACAAARAGCTTATACCCGACGAGAAGGTGATCCTCACGCGTGCCCTTCCGGTGATGGACTTTACGGGTACCACACTTAAGAAGCTGTCCGATCGGATACCTAATCTTATCGATGGTTACGATCATTGCTATGTTGTTAACGGATCCAAAATTCAGTCAACTATTTGTGGAAATCAAACAATGAATGAGGCGGTGGTTATCAGGTCTCCAATGACTGGCATAACTATGAGTTTCTCGACTACTGAACCGGCCTTTCAATTCTATACAGGAAATGGTCTCAACAATACATTTACAACTAAAACAACTCAAAGCAAACAACCGCTTAAACTGGACAAACACTCAGCCTTTTGTTTGGAGGGACAGAAATATATCGATGCCATTAATCACACGAAATGGCAAAATCAAGTGATTCTTCATCTAAAAGATACTTACAAACAGACGACTGCTTATAAATTTACTAATCAWTAGAAAAATATTTTTTTTCTTTTGTCATATATTTATATTTAAATATCTAATTTTGTTATATTTAAATAAATATACAATAAATAAGTTTGAATTATTGAAAATAATATAATTTATATATTTTTGGTTTGTTTAATGAATATTTTTAAATATAATTCATAATCAATTTAATGCAAGTATACAATATTGTAYTGTATTGTACTTTTAATATCTATGACATTGATCTTAAGTTAATTTGTTWTAAAAAAATATAAATTAAACATATTGTGTGACTAAAATTATTTGCTTAATATGTTTTTATTTTTCTTGGAATATAATTATCTATATATTAAGATAATTTTGAATAGTGATAATCATTATCTAAATAATATAATTGTTATTTCAAATGTAATTTCTATGATAATTTTGTATACAAATTGCATTATGCGACATTCAATTTATTCAAGTATTTTTATTAAAAATATATTTAACAATTAATAAATATTTAAATTATAAACTTATAAATAAACACTAATATATAATAATTTTGCTATAAATTAGAGTAGTCAAACATAAATTATAATGACTGTTAATATTTGTCATATTTAATATTGATAATTAATACAATAAATATTGTGCAATAATTGATGCATTTACTATGAAATATAAATTAAAATAATAGTATATTTATTAAAACATCTTATAATATTGAGAATATAAATTAGTAATAATATTGTTACATAAAAATCAATTGAATAGATAAGGTCTCAAATCTTAAGTATTAATAATAATTTGTCACAAAAGATGTTTAGTACAATTGTCCCAATAATTAAAATTTTTTGATTAATTTGTAGAGATATTACACARTATTTAATAAATATATAATATTAAGCCATTCTTATTATTTTACTGATAATTATAATATAAAAAGAACTATATATTTGGTATTTAATTCATTAATAATATAAAATTTCTATTAAATTAATTAAAATTCTACAATATTTATTAAAAATGAAATTATTACTATTGTTAGTAAATTTATTAATTAATAATATATTAACCGATGAAATAAAATCAAGTGTTATTAATGACGAGTGGCTAAAATTTAAAGTATAATAATATTACATTATTGAGTAAATATTGTTAATTTAATTAAATATATTTTTCATTAGACAATATACCGACCAAATGGTTATAATATTGATATAAACGAGGAGTCAATGCGTCGACAGATATTTGAATTAAACTATAGATTAATAGTCAGTCATAATCGAGAAGCAGATGAAGGTTTGCAAACATACCGTTTGGGAGTCAATGAGTTTACCGATTGGACCGATGATGAGTACGCCAATAGTCTAACACTAAAATTAGGATCATTTGCCGATCAAGAGATACAGTCTAGTGATCAACAATATGTCGACACAATTACTTTGCCTCAATCTGTCGACTGGAGAGACAAACATGTGGTCACACCTGTTAAAGACCAGAAAGATGTAAATATATTATATATCAAAATTTATTTCAATAATACAGTATTATTAATATTGTTGTCAATCAAATGTTATTATTAGTGTTCTGCATGTTTTGCATTTAGTGCCATTGATACCATCGAAAGTAAGATATTATTGCAATTTTTCTGTATTTATTAATTACTATTATATATTAAATTAATAGTATTTGCATATAAAAATTTTATTATACATATTAACAATAGGTCAGTTAGCTATTAAAACCGGTAAACTTGAAAAACTGTCTGTTCAGCAAATTCTCGATTGCGGCAATGGATTACCTGATAATCTTAAATCTTTGATTTGTTTTATCGGTGGATTAATGCACGAGTCCTATGAATATATTATAAAAAACGGTGGAATTGAATCAGAGGAAAGGTATCCATATATTGATAACTACGGCAACTGTAGCTATCGATCTATATATAAAAAAGCAACTATTGGTGGATACGTCAACTTAACAGTTGGCAGTGAGGATGCACTACAACACGCTGTCTCAACTGTCGGTCCCATTGCTGCCGGTATTAACTCATCGCCCAAAACATTCAAACTATACAAAAGTGGTGTATATAATGATGTCCAATGTCTTAACGGCAGAAAAAATTTGAGTCATGCGGTTGTTGTTGTCGGCTATGGCGTAGAAAATGGACAAAACTATTGGCTAATTAAAAACTCGTGGAATACAACTTGGGGTGACCAGGGGTACATCAAATTGGCCAGAAATGCTAATAATACATGCGGYATTGCTACCTATGCTCTGTACCCTACAGGTGTCCATCCTTAATAATAATATTATAACAAATTTTATAAAAAAATATATAAAAATAGGATGACCAACTAATGTATGCAAATAAAATGTTGTTGATTGTTAATATCCACTCATTTCTAAATTTAGCATTTTATTAATAAATGAATTTCAATAATCTCTTACAAAAACAATTTCTCGATTATACTTATATTTCAGTAAATAATATGTAAAACATAAGTTGATTTTTAAGGTATTTTCTCATTTGGCGCACTAATAGTGTGACCGTGGATGAGATGAATGAATGAGTGGACACAACCAAATGATCGGTAAAACAATTTATTGTTTAAAATAAAAAAAATACAAATAAAAATTGGTTAAAAAATGTTGTTTGAATTGTGCTTCAGATTTTTGTCAAGTGATTGATTGCAAATTCAAGTGAAGGCTTGAATGTCAAGAAAACAGAGAGTGAATGCAAGAGAGGAGAGAAGTGGTGATTGAAGAGTGATTGATCAGAGAGAGAGAGAGAGAGAGAAAGTGAATTGTCGTACACTTAAGTAGTGGACGGCCTGAAGGGTCGTCCAATGAGAGTGAAGGGTTCGTTGAAGTCTGTTGTGAGTGTGTGTGTGTGATCTGTGGGCCATCTTGGGTCACAATAGATTAAAACTTATTTGTATTTTTTATTTAATAATTTTATTTGTATTACAAATTTTAGTTTAATTATTGTAGTCGTGAAGCACAGGTATATCTAAGCATGAAATAAATGGTCGGTTCTGTCACAAAAATAGACAGGTATTTCAAGTGTAATAAAATTATTGAAAGTAAAATTTTTGGTATTATTGACATAAATTGTTATATTTAAATCTATTTGTTAATTAAATTATTACTTATTTAAATGAAATATTTTTAAATATAAGTTATTTTCAAATATAAAATACTTTAACTTTATAAATAAAATAAATATTTTTAAATTGAATAAATTATAAATACTTAAGTTAATAATAAATTTTATATATAAACCAGTTAAGAATGCTAGAAAGCATTATCAGAAAAAAAAAACTTGACGGTATAAAATATTATGTTCGCAAATTAATTGTCATTTATAAAAAATAAACCACATTTATATAAAATTTTAATTTTATTTTAAACATCAAATATTAAATACAAAAGTATATTTAAAAAAGGATATAATAAATGTTATATATAGATTTATGATTTACAATACATCGTAAATATCTTGATTTGGTTCAACACATTTTGTGCAAACAAAATTGCTTTGTGTTGTGTTATTATCCTGCTGACAATTTTGATGAAATCTTTCACCACATTGTGTACAGCGAATCATATTATTATTAAATGTTTTCGAACACAAACAATGTAGAGTTGGTATTGTTATGTATTTGGATTTTGCTTCGGTATTTCGAGTAATTGGCAATGAAATTTGTCCAGATTCATACCATCTTTGTAATCTTTGACGCAAATTGAAACTATTTTCAGTTAGTCTTATTGAACTTGGATTAATACCAGAAATATTTAATGCCATATTCATTAAAGCATAAACACCACAATCATTAGAATTTGGCTGTTTTGTTACTCGCCAAAATTGATATTTTAATTGAGGTGTTATGTCGAGTTGTCTTATATGTGCACTTGCGACGCGTACAATTAATTCGCTAACAGTTAATGTGTTAACCGAATCATAAACATTACATGTAATTGTTGTTGATGATGTATATTGAACATTGATGTAAATCCAATGGTTACCAGTGTTAACAATATGGTGTAATTCTTGTCCAACATTAGTGAAATAATACTTAGGTTTTAAATATGGATAATTTTGTTGAAAACGATAAGAAGTTTGAAAATTAAGTAAGTTATTATTATTAGCTTGATTGTTAAAAATTACAGATATTCCATTTGTAATTAGAGAATCGTTTAGCCATCCATTGTTTTCTGATCCATCAAGTAATCGTAAATCACTTGTTATAAGATCTTCATGTAGATAATTATTGTATGTCTTTGAAAGCCAAATATTTGAAATTTGATGATCTTGTAATTGCGTGTACTTTTCTATATCTTCTTGTGATAACTTTTTAGCAGATACTTTTGAATCTTTCACTTTCAAATAATCTTGAATTGTTTCTTGAGATAGTTTTGTAATTGTAACTGAAGACTCTTTAATGTCATCTAAAAGAATTTCTGACATTGTTTCAGAAATTTTGCTTTGTTTTGCTAATGGCTTTATCAAATCATTTTCTTGTTTAGTTGATGAGTCACTTGATTGAGAACTTATGTCAGTTATAGATACGTCAATGCAAACATCAATCCAAAATGGTATATGATAGCTACCATAAAAGTCATATTGATAAATTTTATCATTCCAATTATTTGTAAAAATATAATCAATTTGACTATATTATGAATAATTAGTTGTAAAGACATTTTCTGGTATTAATGATCTCAAATTAAATGTTTTCATAGTTAAATTAAGTAATGTCTGTCCGTTTTTCGAACAGTAATCTATATTGAAATCGCCACATAGTATTATATGAACAAAATTAGATGTCTTATTTTCAATGTTGTTTAGTAAACTTTTGAGTGTATCAAATGGAAGACGAGATGATAAATAAACTCCAACTACTGCAATATTATTAAATTTGACACAAGAGATTTCATAATGCCAATTAGATTTATCATTGCTATCAATTAATGAGCATATAGCTGATACGTTGTTAGAGTTTTTAGCATATATTGCAACGCCTCCAATTGCAATTGTAGAATTTTCAGAGTAAACATGACTTATTGCTGACATTTGTCCAATATTAGGTAATAAGTTGTATTGACATTTTGACCGTGTCTCCACTAAAATTAACAAATCAGATGCCAATATGTTGTCATCATATTGTAAATCTAAAATGTTTTTTCTGATTGACTGAACATTTAAATAAGTAATTGCATAATCTTTTCGTATTGAGCATTCTAAAGGTTTAATTATCATTTGAAGTCTTGCTTCTGATTGTAATCTTTGTATTTCATTGAAAATTTCCATATCACTTTGTCTTGGCTTTAGATTTTCAATTAATTTAAAATCTCCATCCAGGTATAATCCATTAATTGATGTAACTCGAGAACATGCTGTATAAATTAACTCTCGAGGTAAATGTTTTGTTAAATTAACAATAACTTGTTCAAATGTTGATCCTTGACTTTTATGTATTGTCATGGCTTCACAACACACAAGTGGAAATTGTAAACGTGTTACGTGAACATTAAGAAAGCCACCCATTTGGAAATCTTTTTTTATTGGTTCTATTGGTGTCCAATTGTTTGGAATAAAATGTTGTTTAATATATTCCATGTACTTTCGGCGAATTTCTAATCCAGAATTTTTAGGAAATTGTAACCATATTGTATTGATATTTGATGTATATTTGTCTTTATCAATTCTCATTAATGTACCAAAAGCACCATTAAATAAACCATCTGAGACATCAACATTACATGTAATCATGTATTTTAATCCTATTTTGAAACTTATATTGTTCATTAAGCCATTTGTATCCTGATATGTCAATTTTTCAATTTTGTCAATAATTTTTTGTCTCTCATTTATATCCCGGTATCCTCTTATGTCATCAATAGCTTTATTACTAAGTAATTCACCCACTTTATCTTCAATCGCTTTTGTATTATGCAATGCAACTTCATTATTAGTATAATATAGACAAACTGATTTATTTTTGCAAGAATCGTCCACATTAAATCGAGATTTAAGTAATTTAATGTCATTTTCAATTAATGCAGCTTTTGCAAGTCTATTCAAACAATCAACAAAATAAATGTCATTTTTTTGTCTCATCACTATTGATAATTCATATGATTTGAATTTTCTCCATAAATAAGGACCGATTATAGCGTTATATCCATCTTTTGATTCTTTAAATGGCCATCCACCACCAACTGGTTTTGCTTGATGAAGATCTCCAATTAATAGTATGGAAATTCCACCGAATGGCAAAGTATTTTGAAATATTTCTTTTAGTCTTTTGTCGATCCAGTTAAATATTTTATTACTGCAAAGACTTATTTCGTCTATAACTAATAGTTTTAAATCTTTTAATTTACAGCGCATTGTATTTGAAGTATCGGCAGACAATTTATTCAAATTTCCACCAGATATTTGCTGATGTGGAAAAGCTAATGCTGCATGTAATGTTATTCCATCAACATTCCATGCTGCTTTTCCCGTGTATGCAGTTATCAATATTTTGATTGAATCCAAATCTGTTCCTTGTATTGTGTTTATAAAGCGAATTATTGACTGATAAATGCATTTAAGCACATGACTTTTACCAACACCAGCAGATCCCATTAATATTATATTAAATGGCGTTTTGCCTGTTTTAAATCGATGTAGAATATCCATTGTAATGTTGCGTTGCTCAATATTTAATGATCTCATCATTTTTCTATACTCATCTTCATCTATTATTTTTGGAACAGTGATTTTATCAATATAAGATTTGGATGTGCTTTCTTTTGATTCGTCTGTTTCATCAAAAATATTAGCAATAGGTGATCTAATATTTAAAATTTCATGATCTTTTGAAATTTCATCATTAGAATTTTCATTTATATCGTTTGCATCATTTTCTTTATCATTAGCATTAATGACGTTGAATAATTCAGTTTCTAATAATTGTGGATCAAATAGTTTCAAATTTGCTTTAATTGTATCGATATTAGATTCATATAAATCTTTGCATTTGTCATCTTTAAGATCTTTTTCTTCATCAATCCAAGGAAAAAACAACATTACCATTGAACGATAATAATTATTCGAATCATTTTGTTTATTATATTTTTTGTAGCGAATGATTTTCATTTTTTGTCTTTTTTCATAAATCCCATATTATTTTGAAGAATTATAATGTTTGGTAATGAAGTTTTTATATCGCTTTCATCATTAGTTTCTTCATCGTCGAAGTCAAAGTCAATTTTATTTGATTCGAGTAATTTAGAAGATATTGATTTGCAATAATTATATGACGCAGCAAATTCAGCTAAACACAAATTATTAACTA